CTCCTCTGAGTTCTTCATTGATTCATCTCACTTCATGGTGGCAGCGGTGGTGAAAAAGGCCAGAGAACACCCATCACTCTCAACTAAGCAGAGTAACTGAAAACTACCGGAAAGTAGCAGAAATTGTCTCCGCGACAACAACGTTTCCGCTGTGATCGCCAGTGTGAACTGTACATATCCATATGTGTACTCGCCGCGTGCGTAGATTCAGCGCACCACATCACACACTGTATGCCGCACACCCACCGTCGCCAAGCCCACTGCATTCCGCACGCAACGTAACTGAAACTCAGCTTCGTGCGTAGCCTAGCCCGGAGTCATCGCCGGACTGAGCCAAGCCTAAGCCATCACCGAGCCAACGCTGAGACGGACCGCTATACCGTGCTGTGGACAGCACGGACAAGAGAAAACCCCTCGCCCCGAGTAGACCATCGGCATCATAGCGACAGAGGACTTTTTCGTCTTTTTCGTGGAGCTGAGTGAAAGCTGATCAAGCTCCGATTTGACGCGACCGCACCGGGACTCGACCGAGCTTACTCGACCCGTACACACGGTCGACCGGTCAGGGACCAGCCCGTCGCACCATCGCGTGACCAAGGCAAGTCACTACAATAGCTTTGTCAAAAGTCTGATCTACGGGAGTGATCACCAGCCCCCCCCCCCCCCCCCCCACCCAGCCAGTTTACGTAACAATGTACACCTTTGAATCACCTTCATATTGTTAAACATTGTTTCGCTATCGTGCACACATTCTTGTAGCTGTGCGTATGAACAAATAGTTCCGTGAACATCACATGCCCTGTGAACCGCTTCACGCATTTTTACGTCAAGTGTGACCTTTGACCCTATCACTCCGCATCATCGCCGGAACTGTGCGCTTCCCGCTCATCACAGTGAACATTTGCCGTATTCATCCGCCAGTGCCGGAACTGTGCATCAATCATATCTACGGAGGCCTGTACGGGACATCAAGTCAAGTTGGAAATCTGACAGTACATCGCTCATTTCTGTGGAAAAGCAGGACCAACTGTGTTTGGACATTCTTGGAGAAAGGACTGCTCACCAAAAGAACTCTGGACATTTCATATATGAACAATAATATGTGTTTTGACAAATATATTCGTGAATAGTCAAAATTATTATTGAAATAATTATATTGTTGTGATTTTTTGTGATCACTAATCGTAGCACTTACCTTTAAGCTACATTGAAGTTGCTATTGTTTACAATTTCGTTTGCTGTAGCATAGTGAATTGTATCCCAGAGATTTCTATCCCACAGCCCTGCATCATGGCCAAGTTCCCAGAAATAAACTGGGGTGCCACAGACATCGCAGAAGAGTTTAAGCTTTTTAAACAACGGATGGACCTGAACTTCAGGGACCAGGAAATCACCGATCCTGCCAAGCGTGCTGTTAAGATACAAATAGCAGTCGGACCTGGAGGCCTCAAAATGATAAATTCTTCAAGCCTGCCGGCAGAAGAACAACTGATCCTCAACCAGTTATGGGAGTTGTTCGAGAAGCAGCTGCACATCAAAGTGAACTTCCGCATACATCGCCTGGAGCTTATGCGGTATCGCCAGAAACCAGATGAATCCCTGGACAACTTCGTCAACAGATGCCGAGCAAAGGCACACGAATGTAACTTCGGACCAGAGGAAATGACGGAACGCATCATCGAATTAGTGATTGCGTCTACCACATCTGAATGTTTCCAGAAAGATCCTTTAGACAAACCCATTGGATTTAACACCGATGACATGCTTCAAGAGGGACGGAAGTACGAAGCCATCCTTGCTGGCAAAAAGTGCCTTGAGACGTTGGAGGCGTCACACACAGCTGTCCATGCTTTCCGACCCACTGCCAGAATCTGTGGCAACTGTGGTCTATCCCACCCACCAAGACGGTGTCCTGCCTACCGGGACACATGTAAATCATGTGGTTCCAAGGGCCATTGGGCCAAATTCTGCAGAAAGACCCGAAGCCAGGGTAAACGCAAGGGCAAATCTCCGTCCAGACGTGGCCGCAGCCCATCGCGAGGAAATACAACTCGCAGACCAAGATCCAAAAGTCGATCCAATGCCGGCAAGCAGAAGCCAAATGACACCAACAGAGATGAACATGAGGCATACACAACGCTTGACGTTATCTGCCCCGACCTCATCGGCACACACCGACTAATCACAAAAGTTGACACTGGAGCCGGAGGAAACACGTTGCCACTCCGTACGCAGGGATTTTCCTTAGCGGTCGCCCGCTCGCCAAATGCGAGTGAAAACAGCGGCGGGCGAGTCAAAACCCTCCTCTCAGTAGTCCGACGGGCGAGTCAGAAAACGGTTAAAAAAAAATAAAATAACGAAGTTTTCCCTACAGTATTTTTCAATCAATCAAAATGAAAAGTTAAGGGTGATACAACACATGAATACTTTTGCCACGCCGACCGAAATAAAAACATCGGTAGTTCGAATTCGTATCACTCCATGTATATTCGCAGTGCGCTGTGCATTAAATCCCAACGACGAACATGAGGCGAATCAACGTGTATTTGCCATTACACATTGTGCACACATGCAGCGCACGTGATTTACTTCGTCTGCAGTCAGTCCTCACGGTACAGACGTACGTACGTACGTTAACATCGTATTCGTATCATACAACGTGGTGAGGAGAAAACTTTCATGACAGTTTCACTGCCAAAACTTGTGCCCGAACGGATTCTTGGGATGATTTCTTGAACACTATCAAACGAATGTACCGAAAAGATGAGGACAATATGAGATTCGAGGGGCCTATTTTGAATGTAAAGACTAGTGAATGTAAAGTGGACCGTGCTCCGGAAAACGTTATGGATTGACGTGACCAGCGTAAGTTCGTGGGTCGCCCGCCCGCAGCGCTTCTTGGCTAGGCACGCTGATTGCACCATTCTTCGCTAGAAATGCATGGCGCGCGCGAGAGATGTTTTTTTGAAAATACTGGCCTTCTCACTCATTTTCAAACAAGTTAAAACAGTTCAGTTACTAACTTGGTAAACTCCCATTAATACCACGACTGTGTGCAATGTTTTCTTGTTCCTCAAGATAACGCTTTTTTAGTTCGTGTTTTATCAAAACATGTCGGAAATAGAACACCTAAAGCCTTAAGTTCGGAACGAAGCACACTGCATAAATTTTGATTATAACTTCTCCACCTATTTGATTCCTGTTAATTAAAGCCTTGCTCTATGTTAAAGCATGGACGATTAAAGAAACATTGACATCACTTAAAAAGGAACTACATGCAATATTATGTACATGATTAAGATAATTGCCGATTGTATTCATATTGCATAATTTATTATCAAAAATGTTATCAAAAATGCTTATGGTGATTTGATTGAAAGTTACTATTATAAAACATGTGGGCTAGTGTAAAAGGTTGCGGGCCAGTGAAAACTCTGGTTTACTGGCCCGGCCGGCCAGTAAAGGAAAAAGTTAAGGAAAACCCCTGCGTACGATCAAACAGATGTATGGAAGTCGATGGAAGTCTTTCGTCCAGCCTGTGAAGACCAAGCTGACGGCGTACAACGGTACAGAGATTGTATGTCTAGGGTGCAATGAGCTTTTATGCCGCTACAAGACACCGAAGTGGACAAAGAACAGGTTCTACGTCGTAGATGTCCCTGGACCAGCCATAGCCGGCCTGCCCATGTGCTGCGAGCTTGAAGTGGTTACCATCCACTCCACTGAATCGTCACCTCAAGCCCCTGCATCACCCAAACAACCAGGAGTAGGTGAACCTCAAAATCTGTCACATGACACCATCAAGTTGGTCCACGACCTCGTGAAGTTGTACCCCATCTAATTTGACACAATTGGAAACTTCAAAGCCAGAGCAACTCTTCATCTAAAGGAGGATGCTAAACCGAGTATTGACGCGCCCAGGAAGTGTAGCATACACCTGAAGCCGAAGCTCAAAATAGAGATCGACAAGATGGAACAGCAAGGTGTAATTAGAAAGGTCACCCATCACACCGACTGGTGAAGTTCGAAAACCACGAGCTTGAAACAAGATGGGACATTTAGGGTCTGTCTGGATCCTAAGCGGCTGAACCAGAGCCTCAAGAGATGTCCGCACAAAATACCCACACTGGAGGAACTCAACCATGCATTTCTCAAGCCAAATTCTTCTCGAAGCTTGATGCTAAAGCTGGGTATTAGGCCGTCAAGCTCGAGGAAGAATCCCAAGAGCTGACCACCTTTCGAACGCCACTTGGCCGGTACTGTTTCCAGCGCCTTCCATTTGGTCTCTCCATCAGCCAAGACATCTTCCAGCAGTGCATGGACGACATCATAGAACAGGTTCCAGGATGCGTCGGCATTGCTGACGATGTTGCTGTATATGGCCGTACTGAGGAAGAACACGATGCCAACCTCCTGAATCTACTTCAAACAGCCAGCCGTGAAGGCTTAGCTTTTAACAGCAAGAAATGCCACATCAAGACAAACCAAATCAACTTCTTTGGGTCACTGTACTCCGACACCGGCATCCGGCCGGACCCAGGCAGAATTGAGGACATCCACAGCATTCCAACACCTCAGGACAAGGAAGACCTGCAAAAATTCCTAGGCCTGATCACATACGTCTCTGCATATATCCCTAACCTGGCAGACAAAGCAGCGACCCTCAGGGATCTCCTGAAGAAGAATGTGCCATACATGTGGCAGGATGACCATCAAGCAGCATTCGAAGCCTTGAAATATTCCATCACCACTGAAGCGTGTCTCCAGTACTACAACCCAGAGATACACACTGTGCTGGAAGTCGACGCATCACAGAAGGGTCTGGGAGCCTGCCTCCTTCAAAACAACAGGCCGATAGCATTTGCGTCGAAGAGTCTTTCCCCGGCACAAGCTCTAACATATAGAGAGAAACACAATCCCTAGTGTTTGGCATCACCAGGTTCCATAGCTATCTCTTCGGGAAAGAGTTTACACTCCACACTGATCACAAGCCACCTGAGATGATCTGGAAGAAACCCCTCTCGAGTGCACCACCTCGTCTGCAACGCTTGCTAATTAAGGTGCAAGGATACAACTTTGACGTACAGTACAAACCAGGGAAAACAATGACGCTATCAGATGCTCTGAGCAGATTGCCAAACCCGACAAAGAGTGATGACATACCCCTAGACGCCATGTGCATGGACCTTGTGCATTTTGGGCAGTCTAAACAAGAGCAACTGCAGAGAGAAACAGCAAGAGACCCTGTACTAAGTGCACTGTGTCAGATAATATACAGTGGCTGGCCAGACTCCGTCAAGGAACTACCTCGAGACCTACAGGTCTACTGGCCATACAGGGATGAGCTTGGTATCTCCTGGGGAATAATCTTCAAAGGAAGACAGGTCATCATTCCAGACTCACTTCAGACGGATATCTTACAACAGCTCCATACAGGCCATATGGGTATAGAGAAGACAAGACGTCTAGCCAGAGAGTCGGTCTACTGGCCCAACATCAATCGTCATATTGATGAACTTGTCAAAGCGTGTTCCTACTGCCAGGAATCCCAACCCAAATAGCAAAAGAAACCATTGGAGCCACATCAAGTACCTTCGACCCCCTGGACCAAACTTGGCACTGATCTGTTTGAAATCCACGGAACTATCTACTGATAGTTGACTATTATTCGAAGTACCCTGTCGTTCACAAGTTGAACAGCACAACCAGTGCAGCAGTTGCTGGCATCACCTCACACACATTCAGCCTCCTTGGAGCACCAGCTGAGGTTATGTCAGACAACGGCCCCCAATTCGTAGGCAAAAACTACGAAGACATGTGTAACACATGGGGCATCAAGCACACAACTTCGTCTCCACGTTATCCACGTTCAAACGGTTTTGTGGAACGTTCACTCAGAACCGTCAAGACAGTGATCAAGAAATGCCAGAGTCTGGACAAAATGTCGACATAGCACTCTTGAACCTCCGTGCAACCCCTGTGGACTCCAAACTACCGTCACCAGCTGAAATTCTCTTCGACAGACCGAAACAAAACAGATCGAAACAAGTCTCCGACTGTCACTCGCAAAACAAAATCTGGACGCACAATCCGAAAACCAGCCAGATACACTGAATAATATCACACACCCAGATTATACATAGCAGATACTTCAAACAATTTGGTTCAGAAACGATATTTCACATTTAATTTCATATGGAAACAAAACAAATAACCCACACGATTTGAAACAGAACTCAAAGTTTCATATGTTTATTAAACCCGTTTCAGTACATTTATTGTTGTTTAAAGTTAAATTTGTTAACCGTTCAAAAAGGAAAAAAGCAAGAAAGTACCAAAGTCAAATTTCAAAAGAAAGAAAGTACTGAAGTTCACTTTTACTGTTCAAAAAAAAGGTACTAAGACTGTGTGCCACATATTGCAGAGAAACAAAAGTTGTAGTTGTCAGTAAGATATGACCACCAATGTTTCATATGCCTGTCAATTGAAAAGCCATCACTACACATTTCATGTAAATGCTTGCTAATTAAGTAAATTCCAGTTTTATGTGTACACCAATAATTATTCCTGAAATTGTATTTTCAAAAGGGGAGGGATGTTGTGATACTTCATGAGCACTACTTTGTATGCGCGCAAGCACATTAGGTGAACAGTTCGCCCGCGCTCACTCTTACATTATGTCTGATGAATAAAGCTGCAGTGGCACGGAACCTGAGAATAATCTCCTCTGAGTTCTTCATTGATTCATCTCACTTCAGTGACCTTGACATTTTACTTTTGACCCCGAAACCACTGTCCCAATTTGCTTGTAGCCAAGGACAACCCCTTCCAAAGTAAGACACCAAAATGAAACCGCAGTTTTGGACGATAGGTTTAAGGGTCTTTGTGTGAAAATGGTGATATTCTTTGAACGGATTTAGCAATCTATAATTTTTTCTTTCAAAAAGTAGCTCATGAATTTGGCTTTCCAGTCATTATTATTTTTGCTGCTACATATTTTGTTAAAAATATGACATATAATTTTTGGGGTTTGGGCTCCGGTTTGTTTGACCCTGTAGTTTAACAAAAAAGCAAACTGGTGATCTTGAAAGGATACAGAAACGAGCTTGTAGGACCATCCTGGAGAATCAGTACACTTCATACTTTGATGCCCTCAACCTTTGTAACTTAGATACACTAGATAGAAGAAGAGTAGGACATTACATAAAACGTGCTAATGCACTTGGCTCTAATTAGAGAACAACTCCTTTGCTCCCGCTTACGAGGCTAGTCGTGGTGAAACAGTAGGAACAGTAACTGAATAAGTCAACTGTTTGATAGAACCAAGCGCTTCCAACAAAGTCCCATCTCTTACTTCATAAACATTTTAAATACCGGCTCAGTGTGATTTAATTGTGTGCCTTTTTTCTAGGTGCATGTTGTCCTCCCTTTCTGGTATTGTTCCAGTTTCCTTGTTTTTGTGGTGTTTGTGTTTTCGTACAATTGCATTGTACTACCTGGCATTTTCACTCATGTATTATTTTTATTTGTTTGCATTGTGCAAGTTTTTATCGCTTTAAGAATTAATTGCCTCTAATGTTATTATCTTTTGGAATTTATCTGGGACATGATTTGAGACAAATAAAATAAATGAAAAAACCTTCTGAAGTTTGACACCAAAATCTCATTTCTAACTCAAGCTATTATCCGGAAACCATTAACATTTAACTTACAACGTTGACCTTGACCCTTGACCTTTTGACCCCAAAACCTAACCAACTTGGCTGTACCCAAGGGCAACCACCTACTACTAGGGTTAGACACCAAAAATTGTATTTCTAACTCAAGTTATCATCCTGAAACCATTAACCTTAACCTCACCACGGTGACCTTGACCTTTGGCCTGTAGACCCCAAACTAATCCCAACTTGCCTATACCCAATAAGGCAACCCCCTAAAAAAGTTGGACATCAAAATCTCATTTGTAACCCAAGTTATCATCTGGAAACCATTTAACTTTTAACTCACCAGGAGGACCTTGAAATTTACCTATTGACCCTAAACCAATCTCACTAGCTTGTACCCAAGGGCAACCCCCTACCGAAGTTAGACACCAAAAATGTCATTTCTAACTTTATATTGTATCATCCAAGAAACCAATAACCCTAACCTCACCACAGTGTCCTTGACCTATGACCTCTTCACCTCAAAACCAATCCCAACTTGGCTGTTCCCAAAGGCGACCCCCTTTCGAAGTAAGACACCAAAAACAACCTACTCTTTAAAAAACCTGTCGTACTGGTTTGAAATATCTCTTTTAATTAAAATTATGGTTGAGCACATGTATATATCAAGCCTATAAGGTATTCTGACAAATCAACCATGTAGTCTTCCAAAAACCTTTATGGTTATCACGGAAAACAAAAAACTTGCATTAAGGACGTCCCAGTGTACAGAAAACACTCGTGGCTATTGAACACGCAGAAAAATACCTACGCGTTACGATGTTATACTGGTTTGAAATTTCTCTTAATTAGGGTTGAGCACACGTACGTAAAGCCTATAAAGTATTAAGACAAACCAATGTTGTAGTCACTCAAGTCTTTATGGTAGGTTGTCCCCGTGGTGGCAACCCCATTGGTTTGTCCTAATAATTTATAGGCTTAATGTGCATTTGCTCAACAATAATTGCGTGAAATTTTAAACCAGTATAACTATTATATAATGAGTTATTGTTCAAGCTACGTGTAGGTTGTTTCTGCGTGTTCAATAGTCAGGAGTATTTTCTGTACACAGGGACGTCTTTACAGCAGGTTTTCACCGTGATGACAAAAACACGGTTTTGGGGTGACTACATAATTGGTTTTTCTTAATACTTTATATGTTTTATGTACATGTGCTCAACAATGACAAAAAAATATTTCAAACCAGTACGACAGGTATTTATTGAGTTACTGTTCAAGCAACGGGTATGTTGTTTCTGCGTGTTCAAAAGTCAGGAGTATTTCCTGTACACTGGGACGTCTTTATAGCAGGTTATCTAGGTGATGACATCAACAAGTTTGTGGGTGACTACAACATTGGTTTATCGTACTACTTTATAGGCTTGATGTGGTTGTATTTAACAACAATTAAAGGACATTTCAAACCAGTACAACGTGTATTTATTGAGTTATTGTTCAAGCAATGCGTTATGTTGTTTCTGCGTGTTCAATAGTCGGGAGTATTTCCTGTACACTGGGCCGTCTTTATGGCAGGTTATCTAGGTGATGACATAAAAAAGTTTGTGGGTGAATACAACATTGGTTTGCCCTAATACTTCATAGGCTTAATTCAAATTTGCTCAACAATAATTTAGAGCCATTTGAAACCAGTACGACATGTATTCACTGAGTTATTGTTCAAGCAAAGCGTATGCTGTTTCTGCGTGATCAATACTCAACGTGTGTTTTCTGTACACTGGGAGGTTTTTATCAGGTTTTCTCTGTGATGACGAAAAAAAGTTTTGGGGTGACTACAACATTGGTTTATCTTAATACTTCCCAGGCTTGATATAAATGTGTTTAACAATAATTAACGGACATACCCAGAACGACATATGTTTATTGAGTTATTGTTCAAGCAACGAGTAGGTTGTAAGGAGTATTTTCTGTACTCTCGGACGTCTTTATGGTAAGTTTTCTCCGTTATGACAAAGAAAAAGGGTTTTGGGTGACTTCCCCATTTTTTTTGTCCCACTACTTTATAGGTTTAATGTACATATGCTCAACAATGATTAAATGAAATTTCAAACCAGTACAATTGATATTCAATGAGTTATTGTTCAAGCAAAGCGTTCAAAATACACGTTCCTCACATGTTTTTTCTGTACATTGGGACTTTTCAATACAAGTTTTCTCCGTGGTGACAAAAAAAGGTTTTTGGATGACTTCAAAATTGGTCTGTCCTAATACTTCATAGGCTTTATGTACATGTGCTCCACAACAAATTAAAAGATATTTCAAACCAGTACAACATGTATTTACTGAGTTATTGTTCAAGCAACAAGTAGGTTGTTTCTGCAAGGTCAATAGTCAAGAGGAGTATTTTCTGTACACTGGGACGTCTGTGTGGCAGGTTTTCTCCGTGACGACAAAAAAAAAGATTTGGTTGACTACCCCATTGGTTTGTCCTGATACTTTATAGGCTTAATGTACATAGGTTGAACAATAACAAAAAAAATCTCAAACCAGTACAATTGATGCATTATGGCCAGGAAATAAAATTTCAAACTAGTACAACTGGTATTTAATGAGTTATTGTTTAAGCATGGCGTAGGTTGTTTCTGCATCTTCAATAGTCGGGAGTATTTTCTGTACAATGGGACGTTCTTAATATACGTTTTCTCCGAGATGACCAAAAAAGATTTTAGGTGACTACATCATAAGTTTGTCCTACTACTTTGTAGGCATTATGTATATGAGCTCAACAATTAATAATACCTCACTTTTGCACAGAAACGATAGTCCAGCTGGTCACACTATTTCAAAAATTAAGTGATACATTGAATTGAATTGTGGCCAGATGATTGTTCATGAAAAGT